CTTCCAATCCCTGACATTCTGTGATTCTGCGCGTAGCTACCTTGCCAACATTCTGTGATTCTGTGATTCTGTGCGTAGCTACCTTAAACTCAAAGGCACCTGAATCTAGATGTGAATCTAGATGTGGTTTAGCCACAGTCATGAGTTTATGGCTGATCAAGGTACTTCTCCTGCATCCCCCTCCTGTACCTCCCAGTTGAACCACTGACCTTGGCACAAGGGTTATAAAGGACAGCAAGGACATGGTGTTGTGTTAAAGGGCAGAGAGATTTGGCAGAAAATAAACCCCCGTTGAGTTCCAGTTTATCCTCAGATCTCAGAGGAGCTGGGGTTGGCTGGGCTTAGGTTTTGAGTGATGCCAAATTCAACATTATCAGTCCAATATATGGTTCAATATATTGAACTACCACAGCTGTGGATGCACTAATAGTGCAGCACGACAGTCCAGTCACATTCAGATCAACCAGCACGGCCACTTGGTCACATTCAAGGAGAACTCTCATGTCTGGATTGACTTTCACATTTAAATGAACTTACACAGCCACGCTTGGACTATCAATGAGAACTATCACAACTGGATTAATGAATGGGGCAGTTTATTGAAGCAACAGAGTCCAGGTTCTTTTGGATTGCCAGTGATAAATGTACTGTCTGCAAAAATGAGTGTAGGTACTCAAGAACATAAATCTACAGACACAATAAGAAAAAACAACTTTATAGTGATATTCTAAGAAGTTTCTCAAGGAAGGTTCAAATCTCACCCCATAGGTATCACTAAGGGGGTGGGAGGGAGGCTCAGCCCACCAACTGGTCCCAGAAATCGATGATAATTCATGATGGTATCTTCCCAACTTGTCTGTGATGGTATCTTCCCTAACATCCCCCCTCTCTTAGACCATTCTTATACTATTTTCTTACTTTCAGGTGGAGCTTGAGTGTCTCTAGTCATACATATCTTTATTATAATTGGTGTAAAATTTCCTTCCTTTGCTTTTAAAGGTCTAGATCAGAGGAAATTCAGAGCATATGCTCAGTGGGGGGTGGTCACACCTTGGAGGCAGGTAGCTTTTGGGTGGAGATGTAGTTTGGTATTATAATGACATTCTAATAAGCAAAGTTCCACCGAGGACATGGTTTTGGCAAAACAATGAGAAACTGCTGGCTCAGGGTAGCGACCATGCAACTCATCAGTTCCACAGCACCATCAAGTTCCCCTCTGCTCTGCACAGAGCATGGCCATGGTGTCTCCACTCCACTCTACCTAGGGAGCTATCATGGAGAAGATCTCTTGCATACCAACCACACTCTGCCCTGAGAGCTTCCTTCACACTGTATCTTCTCTTGAGATGTAGGTATAAAGAGATTTCTAAGTCACCTCCAGAATTATTCCAGGTCTCCATGTGCAGAATTATTACTAATTCCACACATGGAGACCTGGAATAATTCTGAGAAGGGCTATGTATCTCTTGACCTTATCTCTCCCACTCACTGCAATTCTGATCATGCTCACAGGGTGGTTCATCTCCTTGTCTGTCCTGTGTTTGTACAAACTGGTGAGGCTGCAGTCACTTGTTTCATCCAGATGAGGCTCCACATCTCAAGTCTAAGTTGACAGAGCTTAGACTTGAGATGTGGAGCTGTGGCAAGACCATCATGACCTAAGAAGGGTCTGATTGCACTGGCTGGAGATGTGCTATGGATTGCCATCTTGCTTCCTTGGGGCTGTTGGCCATGGCATAGGCAAGTCGTACTCAACCAAGCCTCAACAGACACAGTTGAACTCTGATGTACCTTTATCCTGCCCACTTGCCTTGGAGAGAGGGAAGTTTGTAGCTTTGCAGTCTGGTGGGACTTGCCCTGAGAAGGCATCAGGAAGGGCTGGGAGAGGTGTCTACAGCTCCAAGCAGGTGAGGAAAGGGGACATATCTATTCCCTGAGTCAGGTCCTACTTGTTCTCACCATTAACTCTTCTGCTCATTCTCCAGGTGCCTATTCCTTGTCTGTTAGAGACAGTGACTCTGCTCACGGGGACATCATCAAACACTACAGGATCCGCTCCTTAGATGGTGGGGGGTATTACATCTCCCCAAGGATGACTTTCTCCAGCTTGCCAGAGCTAATCCATCATTACAGCCGTAAGTTGTTTGCCTTCTCTAATGGGTTTGTCTCCTAGCAGAAGGTGGGCGTGTGGACAGAGGAAGAACAGGCTTACTAGTCACCACCATCACTCCATCCATTCCCATGGCCAAGGTGTGCTTCTCCAAACAGAATCTGGGCACTCGTGTTCTATCTCTCACCCTAGGACATTGTAAGGTTGATCTCTGCCCACAGCCTTATGACCAGCAAGTGTCTCTCATCAGGAATGTTGAAGGCTTATGCAGAAGGGATGCTTGAGAAGCAGGGTTTGGGCTCACTGGGCAGGAGAATTTTCTCCTCTATGGCCTCCTTTGAGCTTTATCCTTTCATTGGGTCCATTCTGGGTGCCCTGGTCCTTGTGTCTGAAACATTTGTGTGGTTGTGGAGGTTTCCCATGGGCTGACATTTTCCTGGCATGTGTATATGGAGGAGGAGCTTAGCTCTGGGACTGAAGGTTCAGCCCATCCCATTGAACTGTCCTGTGCTTTGTCCTCACACAGAGAAGGGGGATGGCCTGTGCCAGCGGCTCACAGTTCCTTGCATATCCCTGGTTCCCCAGAGACCCTGGGCACAAGATGAATGGGAGATCCCACGGGAGTCTCTGAAGCTGGTGAAGAAACTTGGCAGTGGGCAGTTTGGGGAAGTGTGGATGGGTGAGTATAATTCCTTCCATTCCAGGAAAAAATATATATATAAACAGAGGAGATGGAAAGATGGCAGATGTATGTGAGAAGTGTTGAAGTAACTATGTCCTCATCTCCTGAGATATGTTCTCATTCTTCCTGGGAATGCTGGGTTATGGATGTAGGTTCCTAAGTTACACATGGCAGGGTACCTGGGTGACACTAGCCCACTTTTTTTGCCTCCTTGTTCCACTTCATAACCCAGATCCAAATCCCTTACACCTTCCTGCCCACTGCTAATCAGTGGGAGAGGAAATGGGGTGAGCTCAGCTTCCTCTGCTGTCCTCTTTGTGGTCGCTTCTTGCCTCAGCAATTGAGATTGTGGACAGGATCAGACTGAGTCCATGTCCTGACTGCAAAGTCTTGGCTTTCTGGATGGTGTTTGGATTATTTCAGAACCCAGATGGCTAGAGGTCCCAGGGATTTCATCCAGAAAGAGTCTTACTGGGCTGCAAGGATGAGCTCATTGCATGGATGTCCACCACCCAGAGCAGGGATGATCCCTGACAAAGTCACATGGATTGATAGTTGTGCCATGTCTCTACCTTCTCCTCTCGTGTCAGTTAGTTGCTCAGAGCCCACTAACACTGAGATTTACTGTTTGTTTCTCACTAGGAGATTAAAAGTTGTTACTGTGGTTTTCTGCTCCCTGATCCACAAGCTCTTCTGTTCCTTATTGTGTGGCCTGATGGAATCCACAGAGACTTCAGAATTCTTGAATTATCTCTCTGCAGGCTACTACAAGAACAACATCAAGGTGGCTGTGAAGACCATGAAGGAGGGCAGCATGGATCCTGATGCCTTCTTGGCAGAGGCAAACTTGATGAAGAGGCTCCAGCATAACAAACTCGTCCGGCTATATGCAGTAGTCACGAAGCAGCCAATCTACATTGTGACAGAGTACATGGCCAATGGTAAAGAGCCTCATGGAACTTTTTCATTGGGTTTCTGAAAAATCAGGTCAATGAGATGACTGGTGCTCCCGTCATAAGGGGGTTGGGGAGAAGGACATTGTACCAAATCTGTACGCAGAAGGACTAAGTGATCCATAAGTTTGTTTCTTGTTTTGGAATGGATTTTCTGGGTGATGGAATCCTTTCTCTTGTGGTTTCATAAGCTACTTCACAAGATTGTGATGCTCCATTTGGTTCTATAGATTTTTCTCTAGGATGCAGGCAGATTTATTGCATATCATAGAATCTCAGACTGCTTT